ATCTCGGAAACTACTATAGCTATGTCAACCAAACTGTATAGAGTCGTTTCTTTTAGGCATTTCCATATACAGTTCAAAAATGGAAGAAATCGGACAATAACCACGCCCACCTCCAACAAAGGTTATGTTGAAAATCACTAAAAGTGCGTTAACCGACTAACAAAAAACGTCACAAACACTAAATTTTACGGAAGAAATGGAAGAAGGAAGCTGCACGCAGTCTTTTTTTAAATTGAAAATGGGCATGACGTCGCCCACTTATGGACCTAAAACCATATCTCAGGAACTACTCGACCAATTGCAATGAAATTCGGAACATAATATTTTCTTAACACCCTGATGACATGTACGAAATATTTTTGAAATCGGTTGACAACCACGCCTTCTTTTAATATAAAGCTATTTTGAATTTCATCTGATGCCTTCTCTGTATAATATTATATATACATTAGGAACCAATGATGATAGCGGAATAAAACTTTACACAAATATGGTATTTTATGCGAGAGTATAAAATGTTCGGTGACACCCGAACTTAGCCCTTCCTTACTTGTTTCTATTTTAATTCGATTTGGGCTTATGTATACCAACGTATTATATTGGCTAGCATTGTCAACAGTTCACAAAAGGGATGTTTGTGAACTATTCATAGCAAGTTGTTGTTGCGCCTACCAACGTATATGAGAAAGCAACACRTTGCACATTTCCACTGCTCTGAGCATAACATACTCGCAAACCAATCCAAATATTTATTCGGATATTTACATACATTTCCATAATTAAATCATATTTTAATTACACTTTATGCATTAGGCTACTAAAATTATTCCAGGTGTTGATTTTCAATTGAAGTTCTCGAAATAAATTCTYATTACGGCATTTGGTCATAAGAAAATCATATAGAATTTAAATTGGCTCCACTTCATGTCTGACAAATTAAAGAAAGCTTATGCAAGATACRTACATACATATATAATTGCCTAGTAACATAACAACAACAACGACAATTTGAATCATACATGCAGCTGTCGACGACATGGTGTTCCCATGATGAATAGACGATTAGTTGCTGTTGCCGGCAGAACACTTGTTTACATGTGTTTGACAAAAGCGGAAGTGCATTTATTGTGGCAGTTAATTCAACACCACAGCATCCACACATTAATACAGAAACGGCCAAAATTATGATGTATTTATGTCGTTGTTGCACAAACAGAGAATGGCGTGCGAACATACAAGGAGAAACTCAGGGTGAATGTGTCTGTGCACACAACATTGCTTGTGCTGAATGCATTTGCATAATCTTCTCAAACTCACTACCTTTTTGGATGAATGCTTATGCCTTTGACACAGGCAACTATTACTTGCTACTGGTATGTGTACAAACTTCTGCACCTATCGCTGGATTATGGAGTATAAAATGAAGTTCATAAATGGAGAATATCACCTCTGCCGGGACATTATGTGTTCTAAGCCGGGTCCAGACTTAATCTGGTCCTTTCGGCAATTAATATTGAATATGCCGGGAACTGTAAAACTTATGCGATCAATAGCTTAGGAAGACTACAAAAATCATTCTGCCGTTACAACAACAACAACAACAACTACAAAAAAGTTGATATTCAGATTTAGTTTTGATCTTTGGATTGAATTCAGCGACAGAATGATAAAATTCATTCTAGCTTGAACTTAAAGTTTTCATTGCTTTGGTGATGTACGATTCGTTTTCTGGAAACTAAATTCCCTTAATTTGAAGAAGTACTATTGACTATTACTGAAACTGTGTACCATGTTCAGCCAAAAATGTGATTTCGAGGAATAAACCACGACTTAATGTCTTATATTAAGTACAAATACCTATTAATCTTTCTAAATATTTAGTCCTCAATGGTCCAAAATAAGGCCTCATTCTACCCCTTCATAGGGTTTCGAAATCATGCGAGTCCTTAGTGAATAGCTGTAAATGATACATTTTTAGTACCAAAAGAGACCTTTAGAGATCGACTAACTACATASATATATGCAGAGCTCCASTACTTTGCCTGCGTTATTGCTTATYACAATAATATTTCCTGTTGAGACTTAACCTAACATATTAATAAATGACCACACAATTTGTAGGAGTCGAAGTAAACATATAGTATAAAACATATATAACTGTAAATCCATATTTCGACAATAAATTTCTAGTGTATTGTTGGTAGTTTTGTCATACAATTTAATTGATTTTGTTCTAACATTTGTTACCAATGTCTACACATTCTGCCACAGTATCGGCAACAATTTCTAATTGTTACTCTGGACCTAGATAAACCTATACACGTACATATATGCCGGTATGCAAATTGATATTCAAATAAATATACATATAAATATAGAGCATGGCAGTGTACAATTAATGCATTCATAGTTGCTCCACTATTGTTTGTGTGAATTGTGGGCGTGTAAATTGCTTATGATCCTTGCCGCTGCTGGCAAAATTCTCCCATCACTCGTCGAATGTCATGCGAAACAATAAATGTTGCTATTCTCTTGGACCACTTGGGTTTATACATATACCCATATATATATATACATATATAGACCCGTGAGAAATTTAGAGAAATATGCTTAATACTAAAACCGAAATGTAGTTAATTTAATTAAACTCCAGAGCATGTTATAGAAAACCTAAATCCCACAACTGCTATTAGACAAACTGTTGAGTGTTGAARCAAGAAATATGTTGAATGCTTTGAAAACAAAAATTACTAATTTCACCACAGTATAGCCAGATATACACCACAGCTGCCTAACTACCATAGTATACATCACTTTAAATATCAAATTTCAGTTGCGGAGTAAAAATACCTCTTTTTAATATTTCCAATTTCCTACAGAGTTTRTTTACCATGGTCCGTCCCTTGCGTATCTATGTATTACATACTTTGAATRCACCTATGGAAACTATATCGACGTCAGTCACCCATCGGTTTGTGTGGCCATGTCGTCTTCAGTGGTATTACAAGTAAGTATGTAATATCTACAATCTGTTGGCTATTTGCATGGCGAAACACAGTGTAAAATTAATATTTATTGTTAGTTGAATTGTTGCTTGGTGACTGGCGTGCTGACTCCCTCCACAACCGCTTGCCTCGGCACTTTGTCTTGCACTACATTGCCTAATGCGACTATTTATGCACTTTGCCTCATTGTAATTTGATTTTGTATTATGGCCATGAGCATATTGTTCGTRCAGATAAGGCAATACAGTAAATATATGTATGAAAGTACTAATGAAGTTGCGGTACCCAGCTATTTACATGGAGCGAAGGTGTATAGAATGCCTGTTGAAGTTGTGTTAGGTTTTGTGAGGGTAATAAGAAAGCAATGAAATAATTCTTTATATGTAATATACTCAATGGCGATTTTGATCAGAAASAGGTATAAGCAATATAACAATCGATGGTGTTATCGATAGTATTTTTTATCTATCGAAACTGTCGAGTGGTCTGTATATCGATAGTCTCGTAGATTCTCTGTAAACATATGTATGGAAACAAAATGTTTGAGGAAAAAATAAAATATTACAAAATGAAATACCAGGTTGCTTAATAGGTTTTCTCGTTTGGTAAGAAAAACACAATTTTATAATCTCTCCGTGAACATGAATACACTTACTCCAACGATACTCCAATCTTTGAATCCTATCCCTAAAGTGAGAATCCGGAAGGTCTGCAAAATACAGCCCTTATGACCTGTTCGTTTGATGAAAAACGCGGGGTAAAATCTGGTGAATATGGTATGGTGGATACTCCAACAATTCGAACTTAAATTTATGGATTGTAGCCATTGTCAAAATGCTCTTGTGACACGGTGCATTGTCTTGATAAAAAAGAYTTTTTCCTTCTGCAAACCGCGTCTTTTCTCACAAATGTTTTTTCTTCAACTGGTCCAAAAGGATGCAATAATAATCAGAATTAATTATTTTACCAGTTTTGAAGTAATCCACCAACAAAATTCCTCACGGATCTCAAAACCTTCTTGGCTTATTTCCGGACATGAACTCGTTTCGAAGCCGARCAACCAGGTTCACACCACTCTTTGGTYTYTAKTTTTGATTCAAGATCATGGTGATAGACCMAWGTCTCATCCATAGTGATAAATCGAGGCGCAAAATCSACTTCATCCTTTTCAAAACGCCTCAAATGTTGCTGAGAAAGTCGCATTCGAGTGTGTTATTGTTCCATTGTTAGCGAATGCGGCATCCAGCCGCACACAGCTTTCTAAAAGCCGAAATTTCATTCAATATATGGCTCACACGGTCTAATGCGATGTGTASAACCTCTATTAAATCTCTCTCCGTCAATCGACGATCTTCAAGGCTTGTACGGCCACGTTGAAATACAGCAACCCATCTTTCTACTGTTATAATTGTAGGTGAACAATCATTATACACTTTTAACATTCGTTCGTGAATTTCTGCCACCTTCCAAAAGTAAGAATTTTAACATTGCACGTTATTCAATTTTTTCCATTGTAAAAAAATACTGTGGCACAACGACATTAAATGGCTTGTAAACAAAGAATGAATTGAAAGATTGAAACGAAACTTCACATATAYATACGTTCATATGAAGAGTGTACCAACAAAACAAAAAACATTTGGCTAGCAGCAATGCCCTTTCTTAGCGAACAACGAAACTTATTGAACAACTTGGCATTGTCAGGTTATTTTAAATAAGATCCCATTGCCGTCGAAATACCCTGTAATGATCATATGATAAGTTGTATGAGGATCCTTTATGTTTTCATTATTTATATAAGAGAGATCTTTTTGGATTTTGGAAATAGTTTACATTTGCTTATCATTTTAATTGACGGAAACAAAATTTATAAATAAACTATAAAACAATATGCGAAAAATACAATAATTAAAGGCTTACAAATCAACGAAAAGTGCCAAGAATGTATGAAAATATCATATAGAGTAAACAAAATCTACAAAAATGGTCAAATGATTTCTTAAACTTTACCTATTATTATATTATAATAAGCACTTGCCAACTGTGTTCGTTTACTCATCTTCAAAAAGATCGATTCATGATAGAAAGTYCATTCGCTTCGCTACACTTGACGAATCGAGACATATGATGTACGTAACTATGATTTCTTATGGTTCAATAAAATATATTTTAATATACTTATAATGCCTATATTGATTATGTCTACGATTTTAAGCATACTTGCTATYCATTTCCAGAAATATTCTTAACTTCAAGTAGCATAAAATTGCTAAGTCAGGTTGTCATTTAGTAATATCTAATACATTTTTAAAAGTCATTAAAAACTGCATCAAAACTTCTTGCTAAGTTATTAATATATTGTCTACTTTACGATTGAGCTCTAGTATTATAATTTCCGTGTCCACCAGTAGTGCAGTAGTGGTATCAGTATCATATGTTGTCTTCATAATATTTCATGATAATAAAAATGTTATATAATATGAAGATTAAATTGCCACTATTAGTAAAATACGTCGGTTTGGGAAGAATTTCATAATGAAATGATACTCATCTTTCCTATCGGAAAAGAAAATTATTGAAGCATAGAAGTGGCACATAAATATTCAAATTTCAAAAAGACAAATATTTCCTTTTATTCAAATGCAATTCTCTCTACCAACTCGCTCTTTATACATAATTATAGTTGCTCCTTTATTGCATATATGTTGTTTCTTGCAGTGGATCCAGGTTTCTATATACCTATATACTAATTTATATATGTATGAGGAAATATTATTCACATTGCAGAATGAACTTCTCATTACCCTGTTTAGGAGCTGTTATTTTTGTAATTAATTAATATTACCTGGGCAGCTAACAATTGAGTTGAACGCTTGCCAATATATTGACAAGACGTGCAATCACATACATACATATGCACACTTGCAACTCATATTCATAAGCATGTATTAATATTAATGAGTTGGTGGCACAGTTTGCTTATGAGAATAAATTATAGATTCAATAAGCCGATATTCGCAAATAATGCATTGTATTTGTGTCACTCAGTGAACATACAGTAAATGTATGTGTGTACGACTAAATTGCGACTGGCAGTTCATACAATGCATATAGTTTGACATGCGAGCCAATATGGTCACATATAGATTTTGGACGCTATAAATAACTCATTAGGCTATAAGTAGTTGCATAGACTAACATTCCTATGATGTGCTCTTATTTATGGGCTCGCATAATCAATACAGTCAATCCAGTCTAGTACGAGTAAAATAATTTATTGCAGAGAGCGGTTTATGTTACGCTTACTATTTTACATACGGTTGTCAATCATGACCGCTTAAAAAAATATAKTTTCCACAGGCCATTGACGTGAACTCATTATGCTGGGAATAGAGAAAAGTGAGAACTTCAGCTTTGTAAATCCCCTTTCAGCGGATTCAGAGGAATAGCYAAATTAAACGAGATATTAAAGTCGAAAATTAGATTTTTGATAATTAATTACCGAAAAYGCTCTTTTAAAACTTCCCTTCTCTTTTGAAAAATTATACGATTTTCGCCCCGACCAACATCTGAAATAAAGTGGTAACAATGCTTGTCCCTAATCTAGTCATTCTTATACTCCTGCAACATGTTGCTACAGAATACAATAGTTTTGTTCACCTAACGGTTTCTTTGTATCACCTAACACTAATCGAAATATAGGGTTATATATATTGGGTAGTCGAAAAAATCKTTTCGTATTATGTTACGTTGTAGCAACCGTATAGCTCCAGTGCTACCAATCACCAAAGGTGAGGTTGAAAGCTTCATTTAACCAAAAAAAAAAAAAAAATTATTTGGAGAAGTTGAAAAAAAGTTACAGCTGTTCAAAAATCAGTGGAAATAATAAAGAAATTCGCTATATTTTGAAATTTTTGTTTRAAAAAGGGAAAATTGAAGTTTTAATTTTGGCAAGTTGCATGGCTATAAAATGTTTGGTTGCACCCGAATTKAGCTCTTCCTTACTTGTTCTTATTACTATAACCTAATAGAAAGTTCATATTTGGTTCATCATTATAGAATTTGTGAATTGAAGGTTACACAAAAACTCAGCAGAATCATATTGTAATATGAATGTCACGTGAACACACAGACGCACGGACACGTGTGTAAATACGTTTTAAATTCCAAAAATTCAATTTTCTTGTGATTTTGCATTTTTGCGCTGCCAAAGGGAATGCAAATATTTGGCAAATTCCACTCATTTCAGCATTTCAACTCACCTGCGCGTCGGTGAAAAGAAAGACCGTGTGATTTAAATTGAAACTGGCTGTCATCAGTATCTTTYTCAGATCATCGCGCCAATCGGTTTGCGAATATGTCTTTGTCACTTGAATCGTCATCAGGCGGCAATCGGCAATGCTGGCAGCCAATCTGCACGAGCTGCGACGTCCCGAGCCGCCCATGCCGACCATGAGCATATTGCCGCGCGGCATCTGCAACACACGCGAGACTCTGGCGGGCCAAAGCAATTGCAGGACAACAGAAGCGCCATCGGGATAAACGAAAACAACAATGCATGAAATCAAATGAAATGCAACAAATGAGTGCGATTGATGTTGATATTAATGTGTGAGTGATAGTGAGTGGTGAGTGCGGCAATGAGTGAATTGTGCGTGGCATGGCGCGGAGATGAACGGATAAGTGAATTTCGGTGTTGTGTCGGTTTGATGACCAGCGGTGCAACACGGACACTGGTTGCACAGCGGTTTTGTTGCAAGCCACACGAGCGCAAGCGCAAAAGTGCGGACGGCCARACAATTGGGCGCGATGGCGMGCAGCAGCGGCCACACACACATGCAGATATGCAGATATCCGTGTGTGTGTGATGCGCGGCGGCGCCAGCAGTGTGCTACCGCAAAAAACATGAAATTAATAGAGTTGCCATATTGTGTTGACAAGCGTATGCCAGCAAGTATGCTTAATTTTGTGTATGTGTGTGGGTGTGCGTGCATGCGCAGCCGTATTTGTAAATATTGCATGTGCAATCACACACTTGGTTGGCTGCAATTCACCGTTGCATGAAATACGTCACGTAAACGCCACGCACGCACGCAGCCGCAAGCCTATCAGTGCTGCATCGCCGCTGTGGAAAGCACTCACGCGCTCACACACGTGCATTAACTGCATTGTCTGTGCTGATAATGCATCGCCCACATACAAAAAAAAAAAAACGCATATTGTTGGTGACCGCCACACAACCACTTAACTCACCTCGATATATGCTCGATGGCGAAGCGAAACAACACCAAATCCATTGGCGTGTGCGAGAATGTATTGTAATCGCGCAGATAGTAGTGCATCAGCTTTTCCAATTTATCATAACTTTCGACCTCATCGTAAATTTTCGGATCCGCATCTGGTTGCAAATAATTACCGTAGAATAAATTTCGCAAATCATCATCGCTCACTTTGGCGCTGGGATCGGCCATGCGGTCGGCGAACGCCTGCTCCAGGGGGAAGCGGATATTCGTTTTGCATGCGTTGCTCACCATGTCCAGCAGTGCGTCGCGATCACGCTTCTCAATCAGCCTGCAATAATAACGTATAATCCTTAGAATAACAAAAACAACAATAAGACATACGTATATGAGATTGCGATGCAATCAGTGGCACGGGAAATTCCGACAGCAAAGAGCGCTTAGTGCAAGGCGTGCAATAGCATTCATGCGGTTTGCTGCATGCTTATGAATTGTTATATCAATGCGGTTAAAGTAACCGTAGTAACACGGTGCAGAGAGGTGTGCACAAAAGCAGATATGCCCGACAAGTAGAATAGAATGTGTATAGTAATTTTAAGGTTGTTTGCGTGTGTAGCCCTAAGCCAACGGATGCAATTTGTTTTTGTGMGCAATGAAAGTGGAAGAATGAAAAATTAATAAATCGGTGCTAGATCTGATTAAAATAGATTCAAATTTAAAATATAGCAAATTTAAGGACCTGAAAGCTCTAAAGAATGCTGGAACCAAGTTCTTACTAAAGGCTAGATGCATGCTTTTTCCCTTTAGTTCATAATATGTACATCAAATGATCACATATTTAAAAAAAATTATATTTTATTTATTTCTCACAATACAAAAGTGAGAAATATTGATCATATTCATGATTTCCCAGAAAGAATTATTTTTAAATAAAATAGAGTATAAAAGATAAAAGRTAGAGACCGGCATAATAAAATAGAATTAAACTAGCAAATGGTCCACTTTAATGTTTTGGTTTCACGGTCTATATGCATTATTTCGAATCAAGAGARTAGAGCTCAAACCTAACGAGTAGAAAAGTGATGAATATTAAGGGCATCTGATTAAAAATACTATTGACTATATTCAATTTGATATTATATAGGTATATGTGGGAGTGGAACCTGTGGGTCAAAGGTTCACATGTGTCTTTTGAATGCACTTCTGACCAAAAACTACGAACATTTATTTAATTGGAACAATGTTCGAACTGTATGGTAGTATAGTTGAGAATAGTTGAGTGGCATAGTGGTACTGAAGTAGTCAAGAGGGGCAAACAAGCCACTGCCTGACAAATGAAATGTAAACTAAATTAAAAATTATAAATTATAATATGTTAAGKGAGTTAATAARTTGTGAAAAATGTGTAAAAACATTAAATTAATGAACTTAATAAACCAAAAACCATATAAAATAAAGTCGGATTTATCACAGACTGAAATGCATTCATAAATTCATCTTTCTACCCAAAGCRAAATCGGTAATTATTAAAACTAGCAGTCATTAAATTTTATGCATAATTATTGTAAGTTCCACCAAACAAAAGCAAGTCTTCACATAACTTTACAGACTTTTGGTTGCTCGGTTTTTTGAMGTCACGAAGGTATTATTTAAACCCGAAGGTTGAAGCGATAAAAGTTCAAGCGAAGACCGATGCGGTAAAACGGGTCAAGCGGTTGCATAGCTTTTTCAAAATAGTTGGGTMAAACGCTAATAATAGCAAGAAGGATTCAAGCGGGAAACCTATGCACAATCTGCTATGTTGCTTTGCCCTCTTGGGATCACTAAAAGCCGCTTTGATGTTTACTTTCACTCTCATAACTTGGAGCAATTTRCATAAGAAGACACATGCAGGTATTTATTGCTACAAGTAGCGCCATCTTATGTCAGCGCTTCTCATTTCCACTCTGACAKTGGCCTTAAATATCAGTTGTGAATAGTTGTGAATATTAAAGACTTACCTCATTTTCTGGAAGAGTACGGCAACATTTACAATAACTAACATGTAGACTTGTTGACTTCGGATTAATGAAATATATTTTTTATTTATGGCCTAACAATCAATGTGTTGGAATGTCTTCCGTAAAAGCCGTAAAAAAGTCTTATTGAAGGTTAGGTTATTGAAGGATAGTTAGGCTGAACCGATTTAACTTAATTTTGTATCGTTTGTCAGAWTCATGGAAAACCTCGTTCCAAATGGAAAAACAAAGAGGAAGTTTATTATCACAAACTTGAAGACAATTTTTCTTTAACAAAATCATTCGCCATAGGTAGCATCAGACAGAGCAAAGGAAACTCTAAACCAAGCTCCCAGARCTTCTGGCGAGTCACAATCGATATGTGTGGTCTCTCACTGTCCTGATGGCATAAAATTCCTCTCCTATTRACCAGAAATGGGCACTTATAGGCCAATACTTTCTTCTTGTTGTCTCTTAGTTATCCTCCGGTTTTAATTACAAGGMTTTGCTACTATATAATTTTATATTTAATTGTCGAAGACAATTTCTGTACCCATAAAAAAATTACACAAAATTGAGTGGAACTGCTACTTCAAAAGTATTAACCCAATTCCAGGYCACACTCAAAACTCCGTCACGTCAACATATGTAAAGCTATGCATCAYTTCCGTGAGTAACTCGCATATGCAGCGCGCTGTAATTACCGCAAAACSAACGACCATAACCGACAGCGGGACCATATAAAAACTTAAGAGCAACTTTAGCTCCGGACATGTATCCGCAAATAAAAAGCGAGCTAAAAATGTAAAAAATGTGTAATTGCGAAAAGTGGCGACCACAAAATTGTCTGACAYCATTCTGCTTATCTGCCATTCTCTTGTAGGTAAGGATATCTACATACTTCTATATATGATTTGTGGGTTCATATATATACATGCTCGAAAGCATTAAAATAAGCGCATACAAACCGATCGTAAAACACACGATACGTTTCATGAGCCCACAAACGGCCAAGCTTCTCAACTTCCTGCAGCCTTTTCGCCGGAACGAGGACAATGCCCTGAAAGACGCGAGTGATGTCACGTAGCGAGAATGTATAATGAGATTTGGCGGGTGTTGGCAGGAATACCCTCAATGCTTGACGGTAAACGTTGACCATTGCTTCGGCAAGACCCTGAAATCAAATGAAAATTGCACATGCTTCAAACATTAACATTTTTATGTATCTAAATATATATGTATGTGGACGTATAAAGATTTTTAATATTATTATATATACTTTTTATGAATCTAAGTGGTGTTTCATGAAAGTGTTGGTGAACTAAGTGTAGTAAAAAATGCTAGACTGGGGAAAGTTTCTTAAGTGTATTATTAGTAGTCGGTAAGGACTGGCGTCAGTAAGTCACTTCTTAGTTCGTTCGGATAGGAGGAGAACGAGGGTAATATATCGGAAGTATAATTGTAATATCTTCACTTTAAAGAGCATCAAACTACTTCGTGTGGCGGTATCGTATGGTGCTCTTGCCACACTCACATCGGAAGAGACTGAATTGGATCCTGCACTTCCTCCTGTGCGATTGCGAGTTCCTTCTAATCTAGAAGAGAAGGGTAGAGATCTACTAAACCCCTTGTCCTTTCAAGCGGTTAGGTTTAAAATCTTACAGGATGCTAGTTGGCAAAGTTGTATGGAGGAGGGTGARGTGACTGCGTATACAAATTCGTCTAGGCACAAATGTATCTCCTGATATTAAAAGCGGAAAAATATAACTCTACTTTATACTAATTCTCTAAAATCATTTTTTATTCGTATCCAAAACAGCCAACCTTTATTTCTGACATTAYTAAACACACCCATAGCCTGAGAAATATTATTTCAGAATTCGACGACGGAAAAATATCCTCGTCGCACATCCAAGATAAATTACCTTGGTARCTAATCAGTTTTATATAAATACATGTGTGTGCATGTGTATATGAACATACGAGAGCTCTAACTATAATCCGTATAAATATATATATATATTCATAATTGTTTGTTTTTAGCTTGCTAACTGCATTATTACTCACCCGCGCCAGCAGCGCCACCTTTTCCGGATAATCCTTGGCGAAATGCCAATCGCCAATCGCCGTAAATATTTTAATGATGGTCGAGTCCTCGAACGAGTCCACACTGACGAGAAATGTGTGTCGATAGAAACGCGGAAAGATAAAGTTGCTGCCACCCGGCACCCCCATRGCGCCGACGAAACTCTGCATACATAAATAATTGAGAGAGAGTGAGATATTTTATAGGGAGAGAGGAGGGTGAAGAGCCAATGAATGATTGCAACAACCATAGAATATGAAAAAAGACAATCGCAATGACCAAACAAACAACACATGGACAAGTTACATTTGTTTTTATTGTTGTGTGTGCTTTTGCAGCTTTTCCGCATTATTTTATTTAACTTGCAACTTTTTTGTTGTTGCTTCTGCTTGCCATGCCACTAAAAAATGTTAAGAATTTATTTTCATTTTCGCATGAAAGCAATAAATAAAATGTTAAAGCGAAAAGCTACAATAACAACAGCAAAAAGTTGAAGTCAAATGAGAACAATAAAATGTAAAAATTGTTTCGAAAAACAACTTTGGAATGCAAACTTTTGTAATATGCACGGCAATTTGGTGGTTGACTGGCTGTGTGGGCAGCTAACCGCGTTGCCAATGAGCCGAAATATGCGGAAGTACCCCCAAATGTGTGAGTACACGTACTGTATATGCCATGCATGAGTGTGTGTCCGCTGGCTTTTACTGTTAAACACTTGCACAGCCAATTAGGGTTTGAGCGGTATGTTTGCATGTATGAGTGTGTGTGTGCCTTTGTTTCTTTTTTTTTTTGTTTTTGTTTGAGTGCAAAAAGTTTTAAATATTACAAAATTGTTGTATTTTTTCAATATTATATTAAAATGCTGCCGAACACGCGTTCGTCGGTTGCGTTTTTTTCGTGCATTTTCCTCCTGCAGTCTTGGCTCCACTCACACTTCGGTTGTTATACATTTACATATAAAAATTCAAGTGTTGGGGGGGGAAAAAGTAACGGATTTTTTCGGCTGCTGTGCTGCGCTCAATTTCACAGCAAACAAGTTTCGTCCTGCTCGGACGCAGCAGGGTCATCAAAGGTCCTCACACTTAATTAAATGGAAACTCTTTTGCATTCATGTGGCAGTTTTTTGTAAATATGTTATTTTTGTTGTAAATTTAAGCAATCAACTTAAAACACGCCGAACAACTACGTGGCCAAGTGTGTTTTGTTTACGAACCGATATCGGTGCTGCCACTTACACCCACACATGTGCGTACATCCATACTTACACCCGCATGAGCAATTTTACAACTTTGCAACAACATATGTACAAATATACATATGTGTGTATATGTTATATGTGTTTGTAGCAGTGTGCATGTGTATTTCTGCATACTTGTTTTTTGCTGCCCACCATAGAGAGCTTTTGCTGTTAAAAAGTCACCAATATAAACAATTTAAATAACACACAYCCCCGTCTCCGCCACAGTCTGCTTACCATATCGACCAATTCAATTTTTGTTGTATCCACCAAATCAGACCAGTAGCCGTGATCCAACCATTGGCGTATCAACTCGAGTGGCGGCTGTGAGCCGTAGGTGTCCTTTGATGGCATGGCGACATCATCGCAAAATATTAAACACTGCAAAAACAACGAAAAMAGCAGCGAAAGAGTAAAAAGTTAACGTGTTGCAACGAAATAATTAAAATAAAGTGAATCCTTGTAAATTAATAATTTTTTATGCCATGAAGCTATTGCACAATTTTACCCTTTTGCCCAGCGGTGGACCGTAKACGCCTTTTCGTCGCCGATCCAGTTTCGACATGATGGTCTCTTGTACCTGGAATGTAAAACAAGCAGACATATGTACATATGTACACAAATTCCGTGTTGACTTTAAAGTAAAATAATGAATAATGTTATAATGAAGTATGGCATGCAAAAAATTGTAGGTAAAACTATTTAAATAATACATATGGCTTATATACTTTTTTTGAATAATCAGTTTTGACATGGATTCTTATCAGCGCTGACTATCACTAACTACCATCAAAGCACCAACATCAAACAAAATAGAGAGCATATAGACTGCATCACATTTTTTAAATACTTCAGTTAAGATCATCCTTATAACTTTCCAACAAAAAATAAACATCAACATTGCTATTGAGCTCTCCCTTCTTGAAAATTATTCAACASGAAATAATGTGTATCTGGCAACTACCCACTACAGGTTTTGTGAGACAGGTCAACTTGATATCATCTGAAGCAAATACTACGTATTATTCCTTCAAATTGTTAACTACGTCATCTTATGGTCCAGATAGTATAAAAAAAATACTTCCACTTGTGCGATTTGGTGTTGTTTTTCAAATTATAATATGTAAGGTATCCCACACTTAAAAWAATTMAGGATAGRTCAGGTTAAGTTAGGWTAAAGTARATTATGTCGRTTGGCTGATMCCYCAAGATGACGTAGGTTTCCAATTAYAACGCTATGTAAAKCCCATTGTCAAATCAGRTCCTATGGATAGATATCAGCGRTCGATAGAGCACTTGACTCTGCTTAGGTGCAGTAGTGAACCAGAAGAAGCCAACGGTGTTCATAACCGTTTTATTCTGCAGCTTATGAGACCTAGCGCACTCATCAACCTTACATCTGCCTGTGATTTGCTGTGACCAGAAATCCAAATCAGTAACTTGATGCCAGAAGTAAGGAGTTTTAGTTTTAGTTTAGTCAGCGAGCTCAATGCTAACAATCGAAGTGGATAGTCAACACTCTAAAGATGCCTGCGCCCCGGGGTAAGAAGCATCCATATCCATATGTAAATAAGCTCGCCCTCGCTCTTACTTCTCATACTTCCATCGCAGGTATGTGAGCAGGGAAAACACAGTTAGTGCTGCCGGAACCATGTATTCTGGAATGAAACCATAGTGTGCGAAAAGTCCATATGCTCACAGTCACTTGAGTAACCAGTTTTAATGACTCTGAGAGCAGCTTTCGCGTTGATATCTTATATTATGTCCGTAAGCGGAGCAACGTCGTGAAGAAAATATAGTAGAGAAATTTATAATTGGTATATACAGTATATAAAACTGGACATAGAAAAATTGTTTATGAATTGTTCAACCATGTTCTCATCGAATGACTCCCTGTGAATTCCAAAAAATACTGATTAAAATCTTACCACCCATTTGTTGGGCTTTCGCGCTTGGGACAAACTTCAACGGGCAGCTGATTGAACTGAGATGTAACCATGCTCCATTCATTGTTACAAGGTGGCATAGAAACTGGTAYTTGGAGKCTAATAACTTGATAAGAACTGATTGAGACACCATGATACTTTGATGATAGTCTAGTTAAGGTAAGTAGTCTAAGATAAGGCTAGACTTTTGTGTTGATTATCTCTYAGTCAGGCCAACGACTTTCCAGCCCACGTAGTCCATGTAATTTACCAGAGCTTGAATATCTTTATACATTTAATGACGTTTATGAAGTTGTAATCGATAAATCAAGTGTGGAAACCTAGATTTCTTTTTTATATTGGCTATTTGGCTGCCAATTTATTCTGCGTGGGTTTTTGAATAAAGTTCTAGGAGTAGTCGTCAAAAAAATTACATAATCTCAATGGCAACATTCTCGTAAATTTTGAATATTCTCATGGAAGTCTGGTTTATTTATTTYATTTGGTTTGTTTATCAATAAAAGTACTACAGTAGAGATGACTTTGAAATTTGCGAACAGATGCTAATCTCAATCATTAACATTTCCCATTATGGATATTTTCAATTTCAAATCGCGCACGAGCTTCGACTGATCAAAAGGTAAAYCATACYCCAAAATTTACATGTAATATATATGTATGCATAYATTTGGCTTTCTAGGGAATAAATCACATTACTTCTCAAATTTACATAATTYAGTCACTTCTAATACGGGCTGCCMAATAACATATTCTTATTGCCTATTTCGTTTTAATACCTTTGATTTACGAATCTAGTGCTGTTTGTTGTTGCAATAAAATTCTCATGTGAATGAATATGGTATATAAGGCGTTTAACGAGGTAAGCATGGACGGATGTTAGTTGGAACCAAAAAGTATATAATGTTAGGGGACAAATTCGTATAATGCTTTAGTTCTTGGACGCAGTTGTGTATTTGTAAAAATCAACGATAAAGACATAACCTTTATATTAGGTATACTGCGGCTAAAAGTTTGTGGTTCCCTCTATTTTTGGCATAAAACGAAAAAATGCGAATGTTCGAGAAATATTTCCACCAAATGTTATTCGGATAACATAGACCTTGAACGAAATATTCGGTAAATAGTCAACTAGATTGTAGAATAATGAATCGGATGAACAGTTTTTTTTTGTAATTTTCAAGAAAAGCTTTACAGCGTGCCTCTTAGCTTAACCTATAGGTTGACATCGTTTGATTCACAGTTTGAAATCTTTTCTTCCTTCTCCCTTCTACCTTATCTTTCTCTTATTTTTTATTTACTAATCTGTTATGCCATGTTCTCTTGGTATATGCAAATATATACATCGTACCAACCTCTATTTTACTAGTTAAATGAACGAGGACTTTGCTGATTTATGAAATGGCTTCGATATGAAATTCCCAGAAGATTGTAATTTTGTTGTAAACATGATAAGAAATGTTCACAATTTCATACGCCCRGTTTTTATTTCAAAATTTATTGAAATTAAATTGTTTATTGCTTTGGACAGTGGTCGACATTTTTGCATGGTTTCTTTTTTGAGGTGAATTCGTATAGAGAGCGATTCAATAGTGTCAGCGGAGTGTTCTACTTGTCTTCTCCGTTTTTCGTAATACCAAAATGCATACTCAATCATAAAGGATTTCGTGCAGAGCACATCTGCTATGTACATAGGTACATAGGAACAATTGTGCTAAGCCGACCCCCGCTCTAGATTATTTTGGATGTTCGCAATGAGCGAACTCTAGTTCGTTTGTGATTAACATTTTTGTAAGTTCTCCGTACTACCGATAATCGAAAGAAAAGTTGGACAGAGAGTTTTTCACCAGTCACAAACTCTAAAAATACATTAAAAAAATACAGTTATTTTACCAAGTTTGTATTACCACACCTAAAATGTTGTGCTTGGTTAAAACAATTAATGAAAATAGGTTGCTTCGAAGATAAATGAGTTCTAGCGGCAGAATTAAGTAACCTCTTAAACAGTGTGAAGGTGTGTGTGGGTTTGTCGAAAAAATTGATGATTTACAAACGAATTAAAATAATAGAAATTAAAKCGCGATTTTTACGTTTTGTATTGGGTTGAAAGCAACAAACGAGTGCCAACTGATTAACATAATTGRAGCGCTCAGCACCGAACGCTGGCCAGTAAAGCCATAAAGCAAATGAGCCAGCTAACCGTCAACTAATGGCTAACTAAAGGTTGGCGAGTGAATGTAAATGTCAAATTGTGAATAATTAAAAACAAACAAATTTGTATAGGGCTAAACAAAACACAAAAAAAAAAAAAAAAAAAATTTGTCAAATTTGGGCCGCCGAGTAAAAAAATAATGGCTTTCATGGTTTAGGTGATTATTATTTTTTGCCTTTCGCTTCGGGGGCAGCAGCCAGTGTGAATTTGTAGCAGGGTCACGGTGGCAGTTGAATGAACCCACCTYGGTAGGGCCAACAGCAGCAAATAACGTTTATGTGCAAAAGTTAAGCTCACTAGTGGCGGCGGTCGKTAAGTTGCTGGCGGTTTTATAGACRATATCGTTGTGGTTGCTGTTGTTGCCAAACTCAATTTCAATGACAACCGCACAAGCACCAGCGCAGGCACTTGACCATGCGGCCGGCTAGATTTCAGGCAAACTGTTGCATACAACAATACAAGCAGTCTGAAATTTGCATGAGTGTATGGCACAAATGTGTGCGTGTGTGTGTGAGCAGTGTTTATAAGTATGGGCATTGCAGGCACTTGTGCTGCACCTACGTATTGTCGGCCACTTCAATTTGTAGTGCTTACCTCAAAAATAGAAACTTTGTAGCACAGTCATGGACGCACACACACACATACACGTGTTCACACACGGGTATTTATGACAAGCGAAACAGTGTCGTGCTGTTGCCAATTTTGGCATTTGAGTAGATCTCAGCAATTGCAGTGGCAAACGAGCTACCGAAATTGCTGTAATAACTGAACAATTTCCAAGCAACTTTTCGGAGCAACAATCGTTATGCATACAACATGCCACATATTGGCAGTACATCACTTTAGCCGCACCAACACGACATTACACACAACCGCACACTTGCTGACTTGCCATTTTTGCAATCTTCACCACACACCACACACCCCTTCACCCACAACCACAYTCCTTCAGCTACTCGCCCACACACTCATTCGTTCACTCACCAGCTGTGCACTTGTGCGTGCCGAAAAGTTTACAATGTTGACGAGATTTGTATGCTTAGGCAGCGCATTCAGATTGCTTGTGATGACAGCACTCTTGCCGGTGCCGGTGGGTCCAATAACCAGCATCGGATAGGATTTGTTGATACAAAACTCTTGCCAATAGGTAATTTGACCGGATTCCTTTGTCGGCACGATGAGCTCACTGATGATCGCACGTTCGGGGAATATATTGGCGGTGGCGGTGGGGTCATCGGTGGACTTCTGCCAGGTCCACCAGTTTTCCACTTCGTCGAAACGATAGTCCATGAGTGAAAGTTTTTCAGGAAACATTTGACCGCGATTGAGCGAGAAATATTTGGGGCGCGGATATTCTTCATTGGCGCCATAGAGTATCTTGCGGATTAGTGTGTCGAAATGCTTTTGGCCATTAACTGAAACAGAGCAGATTAAAAGTATACATTTAGGGTGTGTTTTAGTAATATATATMTCGACTTGAATAAACAGACACTTATCACTTATGCGGTAGAGTTCTTCTCTGAAAACTAAAAATGCATTCACTTATTAGAAATGTCAGCGGAATGTTTCAGGAGATAAGAACTATCAAGATATCTACCATCTAAGTATTTTTTAAGGATTCTGTATTTTTTTTTACTAAAGTTACTTTCCTTGGTAGGTTAAAAGGAAAGGTGTGGGAGCGTCAAACTTGGCAGGCATAAGTCCTTAAGCCGTTATTAGGTCTACTGCGCTCCCACGTTTACTGAATTAGATGAAGTATAATTACAAGTGTCAGGATTGAGTTCGGGAGTGAAGGAATATATGATCGTTAAACCGGAAGTTAGAGTTTTCACATTATGGGTTGGGAATCTAGTACAAGTTTTTTGTTCAATTATTCGTAGAAATGTAAGGAAATTACCTGTCAATGCAGATCCATAAGCCCAGGCGAAGCAAAAAAGAAACATTTGCTGGAACCAAACTTGATTAAATGTTTTATGCTTGTCCAAAAAATGAAAAAAGAAGCGTGAGAACATCTGCAATGCCGATGAAATACAAAGAAGGAAAGAGAGTTCAAATAAGAATTCAAAAGCATGAAAATGCAGAGAGACTATATATCAAGTACTACAAACCTTATACTGATACATGGGTGACGGTTCAACCATTTGTTTACATTCTTTTAGTATAGCCAAAGCAGCCGGAATCAACCAGTCGACCATATCATCGAATAGTGTCATATAGATCTCATTTAGACCAACGGTCTCGATCAACACATTCAAGAAACTCTTATGAAATGTGCGCCAACCCAGCTGCGATGGTTCCATGTAAATCATGCCRCAGCGTGAAACAGTAGCCGGTGAGGCCTGCTCCAAATCGGCTGGTTCGAACATCATATTCATTGTTCTGGTCATTTGTATTATCTCACCAGACATTAGACAAAGTTTCTTGTTATCATCCAAGACGGTATTCAGATTTTCAATCCACACAGCATCGACGGGTCCATCGAAAAAGACCCAATGGCGTTCAGTGGTCGGTGCGGTGGCCATTTCTCGATAAGTTTTCGCCAACACACCATCATACCATTCGTGGGAAACCGGATCGAAACGACCATACAACTGACCCATTGTAATGGCTTTCGGATTTATGATACGATAATTGACGGGAAATTCTTTCAACGTGGCATCAGGATCAAGACTAACACAGCGCAAGGCTACAGCGAGCATCTGAGTGAATAAACATTTTTGGATGACAAATGAAATTAATTTATAGGTATTTGTATTTTTAACTGGGTAAGAAATTTGTAAGATGCGCTCGTGTTGTGCTTTAAAATGTTTCGGTGTTTGCGTTCTTTTGGTTGTCCGGTATTGCTTGCAATACCTACGTACTCACYTGATAAGCCGTTGTCTTGCCACCCATCGGTCCTCCAACGATCATCAAACCATGTCGCACGAGCAACATTTCATAAATTTGCAATATTTTTTCAATGAACCACGGAGTTGGTTGCAAGTTCTGCTCTTTCAGATTAATATGCAGCCATTTTAGGATATCATCGCGCTTCGGCTAAAATAACAAATTATTAATTTAGAAATTCATTTAAGTATTTACTTGTTATTATTTGAATGGTTTGAAAAAATATATAATAATATTTTAGATTTTGGATTTGTTCAAAAATATAGCGTAAAATAACATTGTTCCAGTTTTATTAAGGTCTGTCTTAAATTCTCATTTTCCTATACCTGTTTTGAGAACATTCTTAGATGAACTCGGTAGATCAAATAATCGGAGTAAACATACTAATGTCCACAATAATGTCGCGTTCCCATGAATAGCAAAATCAGGTATATTTCAATTTTTATAAGTTTTTTTTTAAACTAATTCCACTCACTTGTAGTACAAGTTCTGTGGATTACTCAAGCTGTGTTCACGCTGAGCATTTTTTACCTTAAATAGAAGAAGGCCTTAATTTTTTCGTAAAAAATATTTACTTTATTCAATCTGATTTAACAGTAAATAAGAGCCCATTTATTAATTTGCTCATCACTCCTTATACTTAAGGAGTATTTCATATTTATTTCATAGCTATTTYGCATTTATTTAAATGAGCGCTTCATTGARGCTGTGAAGATAAAATCAACTACTTACCTCGGGCAGTTCGGTTCCAGGGAATAAATCCATGTAAATGCCAACAAAGAGCGAAACATCTTGTTCCAAGAATTTCGGCAAGTTCACGTCAACAATGGCGCGCAACACAATTTGCGCTTCGGGCAATGTGGTATATAGACGTCGGAGCGAGGCGGAAGCCAGCAGKACGGACTTAACAGCGCGCATACCTGTAGAAATAATGTTAAAAATGCAAAAAATAAGATGTTCAAAAATGCGCATAATATAAGATTCGCCTTAATGCAGTTAAGAAGCATATTAGTAGAATGCAAAAACTAAAATAGAGATTCGTAAGTAAAGTAAAGTTGTGTGCGAATTTTTGGCACAAATAGTTTTCATCAAACATAAATTGCATTAAATGCTCAGCTTTAATTTCCCTTTCACTCTCMTTTTCAGCGCCGGCTCGCGCATTGTGACACTTCTATACTTTGGCGCATAAATTCAAAATCATCGATAACTATTTGGCAGCTTCTCTAACCTCTGTGGATTTTCGAATGAAACGTGAGCGAATTCCTACGTGAAATGCCGCGAATGACAGTAAAATTTATATTTTATTGCAAACATATACACAATCTACATATCTATAAGGGTAACACCCACAAAAGTTTTTCCACAATTTCGGCACTTCTGGAAGGCGTTAACATTCACAAAATAAGTTTTTCCATTGAAAGTCGAAAGAAGATATCTATCAGTGTTTGCGTACATAAATCTCATCGTTATTGAGTGAGTAGGTGCCAGTGCCGCGGCTATTTCGCCCGCACACGAAAATGCCGCTGTTGAACTTGTGAATTAACATTTTTTGTCCACACAAGAACAAATAAAACAAATGAAATAATATTTCGCAAATTCTTTTCAATATTTCTGCAATTTATCAACCAAAAGTGTTGTCAAAGTCGGTATGCAAATGCGCTTCCAATATGAAAACAATATTATTGTGAAGACTTTAGCACTAGCTTTAAAAGGTCAATTATATAGGAGGATTGCGAAAAGTCTGCCTTGACGTTCACAGCGATATGAAAGTGCTATTTTGAAGTTTTCAAAAGTTTCGCAGTGTGGTTGAGTTTCCTATATTGCCTTCTGACCATTCTGACATTTCTTTTATATAATAATAATTTATATGAAACTTCAAGCAACCGAAATTGTGGGATTCTCAAAGCGGTGCTTTCAAGCGTCATCTGCGGCATATATTAAATTTTTTAACTTTATAGTGGCACGTTACTTGGCAAGCTACAGATCTATTTGGGATCCACAAATTTTTAATTTTTCTTAACTGTCAAGTACTGATCGAACTCTAACATTTTAACTGAAGCCGATTTAAAATAAAAGGTGTACTTTTTAGTCTCAAATAAAATGCATTTGATTTATTTTAATGACTAATTTTGCTATAATGATCGAAAAATGATTTTGAGCAAGTGTCCACCCCGGCTTACTCCGGTAAATTCCAGCCGATATGTCCGACTTTTGACCACTTTTTGCAGCTATTGTAAAAAATAATGCACTGAACCCTCTTTTTTAAGGCGTCAATTGTTTTCGGCCTATCTGAGTAGACAAGCGACCTCAGCTAATCCCACAAAAATAACCCAGCGATGATAAATCGCATGATTTTGGAGGCCACATCACAWATCAAGACGCGAAATGACTCTTTCACTAAAAGTTTCCTTCARTGAATTGGTTATTTCGTAGTTGTATGATGTAGTGCCATCTACTGTAACTAAAGGGCATCAAAATCAACTTGGAGGAGGCACAAAAAAGTTATTAATCATAGCCCTATAGCATTCCCCACTGACCGTAACAATACTGAAGAAATATGGATAATTCTCTCTGCCCATAGAATACCCCAAACAGTGACTATTGGCGTTAYTATACAAAAGTGAGCTTCATCGCTGAACAATTTTTTGATAACCGGGACTGATGACCATCTCTCTTTATCACATGGCTTCAATTGTTGTAAAAATTGGATTTTATCTATAAGCCCACAAACCAAGATCTTCCATAAAGTAGATGGGCGCATCTCCAATTCCTGCGCGCTGTGGCGGATGGACTCATTCGGTTTTTCCCCAATGGTCTGCTCCATGTCGATCGTTATGAAATGCCAACCAAACTGGGTATAAAATAAGTAAAAGCTGTCAAAAAAGACTAACTTCGAAAGAAGCATTGCTTCATAGAATACAACACGTCTTAAAGCGCATCTGTTGAATTCAGTACCATAAACCCAATAGCCCCACGGATTGTCTCAGGTATGAATATGTCCATTACAATAAAGTATGGCTGCCATGACCGCATTATCTTTATGTGTTCGTCTTACCAATGAAATAGGTAAAAGTTAGAATGTTTGAAGGGGTCTTAGAAGTTGTATTCTGTTCGATACCAAATTAATATAATATTCAGCATTAATCCAATAGAGCAAATACTCCGATATAATTTKATTTAAAACTTCTGCAGAAAACTAATTGTTCGGATATTTACCCGGAGCAAATAAGGCGCAAAYACATATTTCAAAATAAAATCTTACTTTTATTGTATACATCTATTAAAACCAAAATATATATTTTTTTTTACTTTTTCATAAAAAATGTAACACATTCGCTACCGTCAAGCATTGTAAAGTATCCTGAAGAGTAAAAGCAAAGAAACCAGCACTAACGCAAGCATTTGAGCGGATGACGCGGAGCAAACGAAAGGAAGGAAGAAATAAAGGAACAATGTCACAAAGAAAATCATCGCTGAGCGCGCATTTCCGCAATCTGATCTGCGTCTATTGATGTAGTACATTCATTTTACAAACTTTTTTTTCACTTTCTCGTCAAGAATGCAACACTTCACTGCAACACCATTCGCACCATTCAATAATATACAATTCATACAACATTTTCGAGAATTCTTTCGGTATGATAGGTGACAAGAGCTCTTCAAGTGCATATGTGTGTACATTCACAAATAAATACTTGAAAAACATTATCCACAATAAATCGAACTCATCGCGTACTGAATGAAGGAACGTTCAGATGGTCAGTCAGCCGTACAACCTCTTATTAATAGTTCACATCTATACAAACATRCGCATATCTCATCTCATTAAATCCTTGCACATGTATATGGTATATAATTTTTGGCTTACCGTAATCGTAGTGTGATTGCGAGGATAACTGTTCGGAACACAATTTATATGTRTGTACAATCTTTTGTGCCAGTATTCGTGCCTGGTCGAAACCGTTCGAATATAAAGTGATTTCGCCAATCATGGCATAGTCAGGTACCATCATGGCCACCGTGCGGAAGAGCACTTTCAGATTGTCTGGTAATTCTGTGCGGCCAGCATAGCTGCGGATGAGAAAAAAATTATAGAGTATATTAAAACTGCAGGGCACATATGGTAGATACAGAAAAAGAATGGACACATATGTATTTTATTCAACAGATGTATTGTAACCAGAGTTGTGTTGTGTTTTGTTTCACTAAACCAAGAAAACCACTTTAAATCTTGCTGTTGGCATTACTCATGCYTTTGAGAGAGAAGGAGGAGTCTTCCGCGAGATTTATAAAATATTAGTTTTACGCCTTAGGAAGCGACTCAACATTTCGGAAGCAGAAATTASTGGTAAATTCTATTATATAATGAATTTAAAGGCAAAGATGGCCGAACATATAAGCCGGAATTTGAAATTTCTATGRCAGTTGGTGCATCGTCTCTTATTTGTTATCTACAACATTGATGGGTAACCCAAAATCGGTTCTTAATTTCCTTAAGGTTTGTTATATAGGGAACAATCCTTATGTTGGGAAATTGTATGTAGTCCAGATCAAAACTGTTGAGAACACTCTCCCACTCAACAAACTCTTCAGTAGTAAACAAACAAGTAAGTGGTCAAATCAAAAAACCTAACCAATAAAATTATTTTGGTAGAAATTGAAGTATGRTTTACAATGCTCTTCGTGTTTAAGTGCATTTGGGCTTTAATCTGGTTAAAGTTTCCAATATAAATATGTTACATAAGCTTATATTTRTGTACATAGTATATCTTCTTTTAGATTCACTTTTATAAGGTTTTGTAGTGAGGAAGAAAAATGTGAAGTGTTTGTGGTCAAAACACCTTTATTCTATTACCGCATGGCTTGCCGAGGAAAATAGCCTRCCCTGAGTTTCTATCCTCTGCAAAAATTGTGAAAGTAAATTGAAATGTTTACCGAACTTTTCACAATTTCAACTGTTTACGAAGTCTGTTTAATGGAAGTTGCCAAAGATAAGCGAGAATTGCCAAAGAATAAAAGGAAGTGGCAGCATTGCTCAGTGGTTGTTCAATATGTATGTATGTTTATAATTTTGTATTTCTTCGAATAGCGCAAAAGCTTTAATTTCAGTGAAAATAAGTTGTTGGTGTTTTTATAAGAATTGGTGGTTAATAACGATGGCTTGAAAAGCGAAAAGTCGTGATTGAATTAAATTCTATATATGATTGAAAGCATGATTTCAGTTTAGTTTTTAGAAATTAATATTGTACATACATACATATTGTTGATCAACGAGAAATTGTCTTAAATTTAAAAGATGGAAAAACGTTTTTAAAGCCTTTATTTTCAAAACACTTTTTTTTTTTTAAGAATAGAGAGTTAAGAATTTGATATTTCAGTAAAAGATAACTTTGTAACATTTTTAAACAGGACTATATGAACATAGGTCCCTACTTCCGTGTTGTTAATTAATTATTAAGGTTTTTTTTTTTGTGCTTTTATATATAATATATTAAATTTTTCTCAAGTTGACAACTCCACTTCAGTGTGCATAGGCAAGTATTCACATTTGAGTATTTTCAGTTTGTCATACTAAAAAAGGCTTACTGTACCAAAAATTTAGAACGGATAATGAATGATTGAAGCAAATTCCACAAATATTCATTAAGTCATGCATTACCACGAGATATGAAAGGGTTATGTATTAACAGCCCCTAAAGAGGAGATAACCTCCGTATCGTTGGTAGGCAACTGCTTCACAAATACTACGAAACGATAAACATGCGTTTGGGAAATCTAAAATAACCCGCTGGGGCAAAAGCAAATGGCTCTTGATTGCTCAAATGGAAATTGAGCTAAAGCTTAAGGARGAAACCAATGGAATACTTTTCAAATTGTACTTCTTGATGCTCTCTTATGGTGAGATATGATGTTTGTTCCAGCAGGAAAACGATCCTAGCCAAAGCTAAAAAGAGTTTGGTTACATTAGGAGCTAGGGAAAGTGAATTAATTTTATTTTTTAAAGAAAAAATTAGGTTTTCTTTTTTCGAAATGAGTCCAGACAAATTACAAAAATATATATGCAAGAGCTTAGCTGGCCTAGAATAATATTTCACCACGTTCCAGTTGCAAATATGCTGATAGTATGAAGTGAGTTGTTACTGGTAAAGAACTTCTCTCAAAATACTTTTTCTTGCTAGCGCAACACATTCTTATATTACGTTAGGAGCGCCCCTCGAATCTTCTCYGCTTGAAGCCAGAATCATTTCATTTCTCTTCTATTATATTTATTTCCCACAGGGCCTATTTGAGATACACATTCTAACTGCATCTTACTCACTGGCTGCTGAAAGAGCTGTGGTTACCACTCAACTTGATGCCCTATGCCGTCAATTTACATCGAAATATAGATACAGCAAATGTGCAACATATGATTGCCAAAGCCGCTGGGCAGGTCCAAAGCGCGACAGTGGTCTCCGCAAAATCGAGTTGCGATCAAAGCGATTGGGCATCTGTTGCAATTGGAAYAATTTGTGTTTGTGCATATTGGTTACCAGTATGTTTTCCTTATTGCCGATGCCGAGTGTGCCAACAGGAGCAGCGCTTGGATCGCTCATACGCACTGGCCCACACATATAGTATGCCATTCGGACTCATGTGCAAAAAACCTGGAGGATATAGCTGGTATGCAAATGTTTGGAACGTTGCATAATCGGTAGCAAAACAGTAAAYGACACGGCTGGCAAACAAGTCTGCACAAACACAACAATATTGGAGTAACCACAATCTAAAAAAAAGGTGAAAAAATTTATGAAAAGAATGCCGTCAAATGGTTTTGTTATGTTTCGTATTTGGTGATAAAAAAAATGTAGGCATTTGAAAAAACTGTGTAGTTACAGTCGTAAAATCATTGGCAGCAATGCCAATGCGCCATTTTTTCAATGGTTGGAACCTTTTTTCYATGAAAAATTAAATTTTTTATTAAGGAACTTTTTAGTATGAGTTTAAACAAGAGCAGGACTGGAATATAATTTCAGGTTAAATTGAAGTATTTCTCGCATGTCTTCATTGTTTGTAAGTGAAAGTTTTTGTGTATGAAGAATTAGGTAGAGTTTCCTTAAGAGATACATATGTGCTCTGACACTCTTTGTCCCTGATTTGAATATCCATTTCGCGAAGATAATTATAGTCAGTCTATACACGTCGATGCCAAAAAAATATAGAAAACTTAAAAATAAAAATGACTCTTCCAGGAAACCGTTTAAATTGTTACATACATAAAAAGCGCCGCAGAATATCACATGTGGCATCGAATATAAATATCTMCCTAAACTAGGAGCAACCACGAATGAGAATTATAAAGTGTACAGTTGCTGGCGACCACAATACGCAACCACTTACTATATGAGGGCAAAGATAAGACCATTGCATAGCAACAAGCAAACACACAAATAAAAAACATATTTTTTTGCTTGCAGCAACACTTACCCAGGATTCATTGTTATGAATATGGAACACGTGGGATCTAAGCGTAGCAAAGTGTCCTCAAAAAAGAATTTCACCACCTTGCGGCCAATAGCGCGTTGAATGGTTAGAATTTGCTGCGCCACTACCGAAAGCACCTCCAATTCGATACGATTGAACTCATCGAAACAGGCCCAGGCGCCAGATTGTGCTAAGCCCTGAAAAAGAAAATGCGTAAAATTCTCAAGTAAAAACAAAAACAATGCAGAAAATACATTCAAAAGGAGTCAAGTCAAAGGAAGGATGCTAAAAAATACATAACATTTGCCGTAATACATATTCTTATCGTATGTGTTTGAAGGTGAAGGTGTGTATGGTGTGTGTGCAGAGTATTCGCAAACGGGGAAGGAAGGAAGCGGATAAAGGCACTAGGGAAAACGGTTTTCATTGAGACGTATTGGATTTAGTGAAAGAGTTCGGCGGGAACGCATATCGCTCCTGCATCCACACACACATGATGTGTATTTGTGCTYTTGCTTGGGTAAACACGGCGTATGCAAATGCACTTGTAGCAAATTGAAAGCTTCGCAGACAGCCTGCAGCAAAATAAACAAGCGTGTGCCTAGGCCGACAAACAATTGTGTGCATTTACCGCATACACATGCTTACATATATTTGAGAGAATATGTAGCTGATAGTTTAAAAAAGAAATACTGAACCAATAAATGGGTATATGAAACCAGCTTTAACAAGATTTTGCATAATTTTCACTATAAAAAAAGCTTTCTCAAATGCTTTAGTTTAAATCTCAACAGATTCTCAAGTATTACTATTATAGATAGGTTTATTTTAATCTAGAGGGTTATATTCACTTGCAGAGAAAAACGTTTTATTTTTGATTTTGAAGAATTTAAAATTTGAAGATCTTTGGTACACGAGGAATTTGGATTCCCTTGATTTTGAGCTCGATTTCTAGAAGGGCCATAGAAAAAGGCTTCCGGTAGGGAGGAAGATTTTTATGCTAAGAAATTATATCAAACCCAAAGACCAGACGAAAATTTAATTGASGAACACATTTCGTAATTCTTCTATCATTACAGAAAAATACACATTGGATAATAGAAAAAGCCTTTTCGTATTTTGTCAATATATTTCTTTGCAGTCGTACTTCTCCAGTGCTACCAATCACATTGTGTCATACCAGTGTTAGAAAGGTGAGATTGTACATTTCCTTTAATAAAAAAAAATTAAATTCGGAGAAGCTGAAAGAAAGTTACAGCTCTTCAAAAATGAGTGAAAATGATGAAGAAATTCGCTATATTCGAAATTTTTGTACAAACAAGTAAGGAAGGGCTAAGTTCTGGTGTTACCGAACATTTTATACTCTCGCATGACAAGTTTCATCAAGATATCTCAATTTTTACTCAAGCTACAGCTTGCACGGATGGATAAACAGACATCCGGATTTCAACTCTACTCGTCACTCTGATCACTTGTATGTAACTATGTAACCCTATATCTGACTCTTTTAGTTTTAGGACTTACAAACAACCGTTATGTGAACAAAACTATAATACTCGCCTTAGAAACTTTGTTGCGAGAGTATAAAAAAGGAAGGATGCCACACACGCCACAAATGAAATTTGTGCATTTTACAGATATGATGTGAAAGTTGCACCTCGGACTGATCGACCTATCGTTGAAAAAGTCGATGAAATTATGGATAGATTGACGAGGACATTGGCTATGACATGGCTAAGGAATTTAGCATTCATCATCAAATGGTTTTGAATAATTTAAAATTGTCTGCAAAAATTTAATTTATTGAACCGACTTAATAACATTTGCGATTCTTTGCTGAAACGAAATGAAATCGAACCATTTMTGAAGCGAATGGTGACAGGAGATGAAATGTGGATCAAATACGATAATAATATGCGAAAAAGATCATGGTRCAAACGTGATGAAGCTCAACAAATGGTTGCAAAGCCAGCATTGACGCCTCGAAAGGTTATACTGAGTGTTTGGTGGGATTCGAAAAAATGAATCCACGGCATACAGCCCTGACCTTGCTCCGTCGGACTACCATTTGTTTCGGTCAATACAGAACTCCCTTAATGGAATAAAGTTGGATTCAAGAGAAGTCTGTGAAAATTACTTGTCGCAGCTTTTCTTCGGGAAACCAGCAAATAAAATAATGTCTCTAGGGGGAAAATAGCAAAAAGTGGTCGACCAAAATTGTACATATTTGGTTCATTATAAATATACAAGAAAATGTTGAAGTTTGATTATAAATACTAAAACACTTTTTTCACTACCAAATATATTCAAGAATGTCGCGTGAAAGGCAAAGTTTTTGCCGATGAGGCTCATAAACTCTAGAAAACCGGGGTTAAAAGATTAGGCAGTAGGTTTTTCCTACACTATGTGCACGTTTAAAGATCATATCCTCACTGATTTCAGAATTGCTTTAGAACTTGTTGTTGTTGTGATTGTTGTTTGATAACCTCAATTRTATCTTTTAGTTGACTATAAATATAAAGTACGTTTTCCAAATTTTCATTTCGTAAAAATTGAATTAGTAAAAACAATCGAAAACAGTAATTGTTTCTCTCATATTTTTCTCTGTTTTTTTACTCTCCCTTCCTGTTCCGATTGTTTCCGTCCTTTCATTTTAAGCACACATTTCGCTCTCTCCTTTGTCTTTGCCATAACAATTGTAGTTCTGTAAAGTTTTTTATGCTTATAGCTTCCTCAACTGAACTGTGCTCCTTCGCTCCCGCTTAACTCCGCTGTCTTTTCTATCGGCATATAGAGAACGGTATTCAATGCTGTTTCCGTTTAAGGTTGGCCATATTCAATTCTGTTGCGTTAAATTTGTTATTCCTTTCTTTTGTTCTTGCTACAATGCGCTGCTCTTYTACATATTGTTTAGAAGAATACCAGCATTTGATTAGACATCCCTGTATGTATGCTGCGTGGCTGTTTATTGACCTCTTTGTTTTTCTGTCGTTTCGCCAGCATTTTGTGTGTGCTTATTTCTGCTACATTTGAACTTTTATCAGAAGTTATATTAGCAGTTTTGTTTACTTTTAATTTGTTGCAGCATTTAGTGTAAAAATAATTTTCGGGTTCGTTTCACAGTTAACTGCACTGGCTTCAAAGTTTCACCGTATTTACACACGGTCATTGGCCTTTATGTGAGGGTAATTGCCTGATACAAATATGGTTTTAGTGCGTTGTCAGRGCTAATAATTTCAACTTCAATAAATGCAATTAATTTTTTCGACAATTCGAAGAGAAAATGTGAGATATTAATTGAGCTTTTCTTTCCAGGAATAACTTTAACGCTTATGGGTATRCAAAGACCTAATACCCTTCATGGAAATATTCTCACTTAGTTAGTGTAAAGTCACTACTCGCCAAAAAAATCAGTACATCCAAATAGACACAATTATGTTAGAACCAACCAATACTGAAGAGAGCACCGAGAACATCTTACTGCCTGGCGTGTCTCTATGGGCGTGTCTCTATGGGGACAATATTATTCATGTATTCTTATCAGGAATCTATATAAATTGGCGAACTTCGCCACATGCTTTGAGGTTGTTACACTATTTTTTGTACGGWTACGTTAAGTCAGCCAGTATCTGTTAAACGAGCTACAATTGGTCAGTTAAAACTGCCATGAGACCGGCTATGTTAAAAAAAGTGGTTCGAGAAGGTTTAATAGTCTTAAAAGATTTTCTTCGGTGCTTAAATGAGGAAAGACAAATTGGTATGACTTTCAATGCCTTCAGCGAATTTTGATATTTTCGGTTTCGGTGTATTTTTCGCACGCCATTCGCTAGATTGTCGGGCAGTTCCGGCATCATATTCATAAATCTTCGTCACGTCACCAGTAATGATGTGTTAGATTAATGCTCAGCTATGTTGTTCAACATTAACACGCTTCATACCCAAAATTCTAGCCAAACTGACATGATTCGATCAATAAAGATGTTGAGATGGAATTTCTCTGTTCTTCTCGATGTGATTGTTATTAAAAGAGGTGGATGGACGGCATGCATGAGATAAGCACTCGATGTCTTCTAGACCTTCTTTGCAAGACAAATCTTTCGCTTTGTAAACAAAAAGCTGCCAAACTCACACTAATTAACATATGAACACACTTTGAACTTGACCGATTTAGGAAAAAGTTATATCGATTCGATTTTCGTGAGCAGTTTATATGGATTAGTCTGGGCAAAACCTCATCAGTGTGCAGATGCCTGTGTGTAGATTTGTAATCCTTTTGCTGATAAAAACAATTTACATAGGTTAAGTTAGGTCAGCTGATACGTTATAGGGATTACTGGTATTTAGTATGTCAATAAAAATTGTGTTCTGGTTAATATCAATGCATTTTCGAAATAACGCACCCCTTTTCTGAAAATGGTCGGAATCGTAAAATAGCATACATGTCTTCAAGGTAAAAATAAGTTGCTGGCTCTATAACGAATATACTAATAAACTTTTGCGATATATTAATGAGTTTAATCACTATATTTTTTTTAATGAAAATAATGAGAAAATCCGTTCAGCACTTCTAATATCCCCCTAAATCCGGTGTAAAGATTTTATAATAATGAAATCGGTCCTCTTGTCCTACAACGCCCAAATGTTCGACATAACGAATATTTCTTCTGGTCATTTGTCCCTGTGTTTATTTCATTGAACTCACTGTAAAATTTTGTTATTTTTTTAGATTTAATTCTGGTTTAATTAGATTGGAACATCAATCAGAAATATAAAAGCTGCAAGAACACAAATTATTGTCACTCTAAACCAGATAGTTTATACTAAAAATAAAGGGCAACCAGTCGAGATAATGCTCTTAAAAACCTAAATTACTTCCATTTAAAATACTGTATATTAATCAAGTTTCGTTCTTTATTTAGAATGTTTTATATTACGCAGGGGCAATATTTCTTGAGAGCAGTTCCGTTCTAAAATCATACAATTAATTGTCTTGAACTATCAAAGCAGCGTAGGCGAATTTCTATAAATTTTTAAGTGTTCAAATTTGTAAATAATCCGAATTTTAAATATAACGAATCAACAAAAAATAGGTAATAAATCAAAGCACACTTTCGAAACTAATATTTTAAGTGAAGCACTTCGCCCCAATTTCACGAAATCAACACATACTAATTATATTTATTTATAGCACTGACGCGTGCTCATATCAATTTACGCACACTGGTGTATTCACCAAGCTAACGATCTGTCTTTGGTACCCACTTCGAAATTTGGTTCAAATACTGAAAACATGCTTCCTTTAATTATTTGAAATGTAGAAATCTTAGTGAGTGTGAGGCAATGAAGGCAATGAAGGCAAGAATTTCCCTGCCATAATTTTATAATATTTGAACTTAAATAAATCCATAAGTATGAATAATTTACCTTGAACCTCATTAACCCTTCACGTTCAGCCGTCCATTCCCACTACCAAAATCTTATGTAGTACATACGCAGATTTGTAGATAATGCGACTGGTTCATGTAGGCAAACTTCTTGATTCAGGGTTAATTATCGAAATTTCTTTAAACATCTTCGTAGTAGCGCTATTCTCAGTTAAAGAATATCATTAATTTCTGTGCTATCAACACACGTGCGGCCGGCGACCCACCTAAAGAGCTAGCCAATGTGGCGGCCGCCAGATGCTCTGCGGTTGGGGCGCGTGTAACTTATTCGTCGACACTACAGGCGCTTGCGGTGCGGCCGCTGTGGTTCAACGAAGACTCCCACTTTCTAAAGTAGCACGCGTACCAATAAATTGCGGCGACTACAGATGCCAGTTTGAACACGGGCCCACGTGGAGTGGAAATAGTTGGAGCATCTGATATTTAGTCATTTGATTTATCACATCTACATTTTTCTTTATTTGGTTAATGACCTATTCATGAAAGAAGGTGAAGCAGTGAAGCGGCGAACTGGCAGCAGCTAGGCAATGGTAGAGGTAGCGCAACAGATGGTGCCGTAAACCGAATACGRCGAAGAGAAATGCTTTGAGTGTTACCCGTTAGGCGAGAAGTGTTTCAAGACACCGAGGCGTTCGAGTGGCACCAGAGTGTCTCTTGAATTTAGACTGTGGCTATAAATAAAACGTTAGCGATCGGGCGGTTTGCGCGTTAGCGGAGCACTTAAGGCGAGGTTAATTTATCTTGCCGTCCAAATTGGTTATCAATTAAAACAAGTTGCRGCCAGCTTCGCTGAGCGCTTCGGCCCTAAACGCTTGGCCATCGCGAACACAATGTTTTAGAGACTTTTTTGTATTTTTTGTCAGTGAATGTGAATGTTAGGGAAACGCTCACTCGTCCACGCAAAAAAAGAAATAATAATAATAAAAAATACAATTGGATTAAATGAATGCGGAATATATTAAGCGTCAGTTGCGAAGATCAAGCAAAAATAGAACCATAGTAATGTCGACACTCTATTCACCGGCGATTGTTCGAAGATTTCTATTGTCTCTTTGTTTTTTTTTCTCTTTTTGTATATTTTTTGCGAACAGTTCACTTTTTAGCATACTTAGTTGGTGGTAGCAGCAAAAGTGATGAGTTTTTCACAAAGCGATGCAGCAGAGTTTTTCGTATAAATACATTCGGCGAAGGTCCAAGAACATCATTCTCGCAGATTAACTCATTCGCAACGGTCTTAACTTCGCTAACGAGTTATTGGCAACAAAATGAAATTATTCGTCGCGTTATTTGCCGTTATCGCGGTTGTGGCCGCCGTTGAAGTGCCCAGTAATGACTACTTGCCGCCAACCGAAGCGGTTGCATTTGAGCAAGTTGCCGTAGAGCCCCAGGAAGCCGCCGTCCTTGCTGATGATGGATACCGTTACAAAACCGTCCGCCGCTTGAAATACCGTCACCGTCGTGATGTTAACGAACTCCCATCCAACGAATACTTGCCACCAGTTGCTGTTGCCAGCGCACCCGTTGCTGTTGTTGAACCACAAATTGTCGATATCCCACAGGAGTCCGCCGTCTTGGCTGATGATGGTTACCGTTACAAAACCGTCCGTCGTCGYAAATACCGTCACCGTCGTGATGTTAACGAACTCCCATCCAACGAATACTTGCCACCAGTTGCTGTTGCCCAAGAACAAGCTGTTTATGAAGCTCCTCAAGAATCCGCAGTCTTGGCTGACGATGGTTATCGTTACAAGATCGTACGTCGCTTGAAATACCGTCATCGTCGTGATGTTAGCGAATTACCTTCCAACGAGTACTTGCCTCCAGCTGCCAGCGCTCCTGTAGCTGTTGCTGAGCAACAAGTCTTTGTTGAGCCACAAGAATCCGCCGTCTTAGCTGATGATGGTTACCGTTACAAGACTATTCGTCGTCGTAAGTACCGTCACCGCCGTGATGTTAGCGAATTGCCTTCCAACGAATACTTGCCCCCGGTCGCTGTTGCCCAAGAATCAGTTGTTTTTGAAGCACCACAAGAATCCGCCGTTTTGGCTGATGATGGTTACCGTTACAAGACCGTWCGCCGCTTGAAATACCGTCATCGTCGTGATGTCAACGAACTCCCATCCAACGAATACTTGCCACCAGTTGCTGTTGCCAGCGCACCCGTCGCTGTTGTCGAACCACAAATTGTTGATATCCCACAAGAGTCCGCCGTCTTTGCTGATGATGGCTACCGTTACAAGACCGTCCGTCGTCGTAAATACCGCCACCGTCGTGATGTTAGTGAATTGCCTTCCAACGAGTACTTGCCTCCAGCTGCCAGCGCTCCCGTAGCCATTGTTGAGCAACAAGTCTTTGTTGAGCCACAAGAATCCGCCGTTTTGGCTGATGATGGTTACCGTTACAAGACACAGCGTCGCCTGAAATACCGTAAACGTCGCGTTTAAGTCCACATTTTGCCCGAATATAACCTTCCTAAATGTATAGTACAAGTTAAGACCCCATTTCATTGACTACCTCAGCGAATTTTTAAGCAACGAATAAATAACACATTTTTGTTTATAAAAAAATTATGTTTTGTCTTTTGTCTACTGATGATTCCTTACCTTGAAAAATTTGCCCAATGCTTTGTAATCCAAGCCATCCGAGCAGTTAAATACTACACATTTTTTCGCCACAGCCTTCGCCAAGTCTTTGCAGGTCTCYGTTTTGCCCGTACCTGCTGGTCCTTCTGGTGCGCCACCTAAGCACAATTTTAATGCGCCCATCAGCGTTCTGCGGAAGAAATGTCGAGTCAGCGATTGTGGTATGTTTGGCAKAGTAGTATTTGAGGGAATTTAAATAACATGGCAGAGGGTGGAGTAATCTCCATTTGTTGTTTAGCAAACAATTGAACATGGAGTGAAGAAATTCGAGGACCAAAATGGCTTCTCCTATCGGAATGTCCATTTAGTGCTCATGGTTACTTAAAGCTATTACACTTGTATGGAAGTATATGAGTATGGTTGCTGTTACTGTCAAATAATGATTTATTTGGTTTAATATARAAAACGTTAACTCTAAAGGCACTAAAAGGACTTTGGGTTTCGCTATGGTGAGTATTTGTAAGTGACTAAGTGATGTCATTAGCCCTAGGATTTATTTTTTATACCATTTTATGTAAGTACCTACATATTTATTTATTCGTGATAYAGATTTTACAGAAGAAGCAACAGAAAGCCTTGTGTTGACTGTAAACATTTTCATCGCATATCCCTCCCCTCCCCTGAAAAATGTATGGTTTTTGAAAACACCGTTCTATCAATTAATACACTTAAAGGCAAAGGTAAAGAGAGAAAGCGGATAGCTTTATAATTGAATTTAACAAATCATCTTTTCATCTAGCTATTTATTATTTGATGAAACAAAATCGAGCCAGCAACWACTTATAACAAGATGATTTAAACCGGATTCATTGGCATCTATTCTTTAAAATTACCTGTAGCAACGATCAGTTAGCGGCGTAACGACCAAGCGTGGATTGTTGCCCAAATATTCCATGCCATATTTAACATCTGTAACTACCATGCTAACACAAACCCACTCTTCACCCTCTGAAAAGAAGTGTGTTCAATTTAATTTCACGAACGTTTTTCAAATCATTACTGTCGGTTTCGCGCCAATAGTAACGTAATTGGGAGATCCAATCGAATTCCGTGATATTTTCCACATTCACATCAATCAAATACTTGACAACATCACGTGCTACAAATTAAATAGTTGAAGATGATTCATTATGCATTATTTGATTGGCCCCTGCCGTTTYCTTCTCTTAACTTACCATGCACGTCCAGCACAATCARAGCTTCGATGGTGAGGCGTGTACCTGTTGCCAAATCAGTTCGCACTAACTGTACCAGCTCGCTGATTTGCGAGTTAYATTTCTCCARATATGCCGGGATAGCGTTTTTGCTGAAAGCTTCCTCAACCTAAGAAAGAAGTTGCTCCAAAAATCAAAAATTTACAATCTTATTTTGAATATAACGGACTGAAATTGTCAGAGAGGCAATAAATACCTATTCAATTACAATACATTAAATGGTATTACTTAACTTGATCTGAAAAGCTTCGGTAAACAAATATTTGAGCTCACTTTATGTGGAAGCTTATAAATAAAAGACCCAGGTAACAAAGTAACCCAGGTAACTTACCTCGAAAGTCCAAGCCATGCAAGAAATACTCTGAACTACTTGTCCTGGCCATGACGTTACCCAAATTATGCGRTCGACCAGGAAGTAGTCTTCCCAGGCTAGTTTCATCTGCTCCAGTACACTTGCCAGCATAACATTTTCGACTTCCTTCAGCCAAATCTCCACCAAGCCCTAGAAAAGAGAGTTTGAAAATGCAATTTGCTTTTTAAACGATTGAATGTATCGTTCAAGCGTATCAAAGATATTATTTCGATGACGCCAAAAGAGCGCAAGAGATCAAATAAGAGTGGAACTAATCCGACGTCATGGAAAAGTTGTAAAGACGACTTTTAACATTATTTTATCGATTCAGCAACATAGAACAAAAGTACTTTACTTACATTCGCCAATGCTGGATTRATCTTACGCACCAATAACACTTGTTCATCCTCGTCCGAAATCATTTCAGTTATTTCCATGGAGTCATCGAAAGTGAGGCGCGCAATCTATAAAATTTAAGGCATATGTATACCTTCAAGCAAACTACCTGCCAGAGCCAAGTACTTACACCCTCGAAACACTTTCGTAAATGCGGTTGTACTCGTAGCGGGTCTTTTGTTTCAGAAAGAATCTCCAGTAATTCATCATTAGACAAGAAGAAGAAACGCGCAAAGAACAAACGCTTCTGCTCGAGATATGTATTCAGACCTTTTTGCACCGTTTCGAGATCTTCGACGGCCTTCAAAAAGGTCTCTAACATATTGGGATACTCAGTGGCCACGATGACATTCAAATTTTGGCAGGTATGCTTCATGATTTTACGCCAAGTTTTATCGACCTAAAAGCAAGATTTATACAATCATACCATAATAGAAGMAACTCTTCAAATGATGGGAAAATATTTGTTTTCTAAACTTGATTACCGATTTAAAATTGCGTCCCTCTACCGGCATTTGTCGCATAATATCCTCGGAGCTGAAGATCGGCTCCAAATACATCCAAGTCACCTGCACTTGTGTCCAAGCATCGATAATATTTTGTATCAGCAGAAGTTTAGCYTCCCAATCATCCGCCTTAGAACCCAAAGCCACAATGAATGGTGAACGTTTCATTGCCTGCGTACGCATAATATGATCGTCCAATAGTGTTTGTATATCGTCCAGCGCAGAGAGTATGTGCGTATCTGAGTCCCGATATTGTAATACTTCGAAAGCGACTTCCTTCCAATCGGCTTGCATGGCGTCGAGCGCTGAATTTAATTCGAATTCCTTGCCAGCCGCATTCGATATCTCCTCCAGCTGYTGTAATATGCTCATTATATTCGCGTCGATCATGTCTTTGAGTGTGGGATATAGTTGTGGATTGCATTCGCCACCCAAATGWTCCGATATTTGTTTCCAATGTCTTTCTGTCAAACCTTGACGGCAGATGGCGTCCAGCACCGGCAGATACGCACGGAATTTCTCGACCTTAATCCGCATCTGCTCAGCCGCGCGGCGAGCGGCCGGATTGTTGGCCAGCTGACGGGATAGTTTGTAGACGATCTATAGTRAGAGTAAAGCATGAATTTTGTGYTATGATTCTAATAAGGGCAATGAAACAGGATAAGGCAACATTTTACGTTAGTTTAGTGGAGTAATATGGGTACTTACACGATGCATACTCTCAACTTCCTCTCGTATGGCGTCTGCATCAAGGCATTGGAATTCTCCATACATCCTTCAGTAGGAATTTGCAATTATTTAAATATAAAATTTAATAGAAATACATTTTTTCAGCAATATTTACCAAATTTGATAATCCTTTTCGAATTCGWAAGCTGTCTTCCATAACTTTTCGATTGGTTCCATTTTTTCAATGATTTCGGCAAGCACCGGGAACGGCGATATATCTATTTGTAATAACTGCTCCTCCACATTTATGGCTCTGGCTTCACGACTCATGCTCTGTAAAGTAAAATATAGTTCATGATGCAAGTTCATAGACTTAAGAAGCAGCTTTGTATTTCACATCCAAATGATTACTTAATTTATAGAAGCAATACTTTTGCGGTCTATTGAATGAAAGGAGAATACTCTTACAAGATCAATTAYTCAGAATTTGAAGAGTCAAGCCTTAAAATAATAGAGGGAGGTTTTCCATTGGAGGCGTAAAATATTTCTAACCTATACSTCTAGTAATGGAAAGAAGTTTTCTGATTGAAGGCTATCATAATTAACCATATTAATCTAAGATTAAGGAACCTAAGCTTTGAAAATAAATTTACCATGCAGTAAACTTTTGAAACAAATCCGAGAGGCGCTCAAAAGCTGCTCTTAGTGAGCAGGTATACAAAGACCCAATTTTTTTAGAAGGCTTAATTTAGTAATTTTGTTATTCGTTCTATTTTTCAAAATGAGAAAATGGTGGGATACTGGGTTAGGTTAGTTGCCTGATTCCCTAAGATAGCGGGACACTTACATTGCTATGTTCTGTCCTCTGTAAAGCCACATAAAAAGTCCTATAGTTAGATATTAGCTCTGGACCAAGCGCCTTGAGGATTCTTACAAATCTTCATATATAAATACTTTATGAATTCCGAGGTATTTTATCTTCGATTCGGCAATGCGTGACATTCGAGAAGGAATTGTTGAGATCATATCAATTAGTCTTCTTCGATRCAGCTCTTGCAGCTGGCATCGCTAAACATTTTCAATCTTATAGCATTAACTTTGATAAGAGAGTGGCTTCCTAAAAATCCTACTCCAGTTGAAGGGTGAACTTCGCCGTTGGCGTAGTGTTCATCAGTCCCTCAAGTGTTTTTTATTGGCCGATAAAAGTTAAAGAAAAAGTTATTTCTATGTCTACCCTCTTCGAATAGCCGATAACGTTTTTATTTTTTATTCTGCTATTTGAGGTGGAGACAATGTTAACCAACTAGAAATGAAATGTCTTTTATGAGGAACTTCCTTTTATTTATTTCGAATAATACACAGAAAGATTGGAGTGACCTTAAGCCACGTATTGTATCATGACTTGAAAGAAGTTTAAATTAACAACACAACTGTATATTGTAGCACAACTCACCTCAATTATTTCGTAGAGCTCGTCAATGGTATCGACACGTTCCTTGAGCTCTTCGAGTGACATAACTTCGCGCGTTTCCTTCACACGAAAACCATCCATGCGACGTTTCTCATACAAAATGAACTCTTCGAACTTTTTGCGRCGCTCACTGCACATGTGTGTGGAGATAGGAAATGATTAGCGGGGAAAAGAGAAGAGATGAGACAATACGAACTCGCGCTAATGAAATAGATTTCCAGCAATTGTATGGGCATATGTGCGTGTGTGTGGATGTTTGGCTGTATGTATAAGAATTTGTGCAAAAGCGTACGGTTGTTGGAAATCTTTAATTAGCAGAGCAAATGCAACTCTGTATGTTTGTTCGTGTGTGTATGTGTGTGTTTGGCTTTGCATTTGCTCGTGTTAAGGTAAGAACTAAAAACGCACCGCAACGCCATCTCCAAGTTCTCGCGCACCACATTCAGACGAGCGGCGCTCAAATCCAATACTTCCTCGAGTTCTCCGGGCAAAATGAAGGTGCGTGAATTGAGATGGATGTGATCACCTGTTGAATAGTTTGAGTTTTGTTATACAACTTGCAACGGCAAAGGCCACTACCAGTCTTTGGCTACATGTGAATATTGTCAATAGCTTTGAAAAGCACCCACAACTTTGTTATCGGTGCTCGTCAAGCTAATTAATTAGATCTCGAAGGCATGTTTCTCAAAAACATGGTACTTCGGTCGATACAATCATATCGCTTTTAAAGTGTGCACATGCGCCGTTAGCTCATATGCAGTTAACATTAAAAAACATTTATAATGACAACACAAACGCTCTACCTCAACCGACCCGCCCGCTTTCCTCAACTGATAGTGTCAACTTCGTAATCACTAACTAAATTAAACTTTTATAATTTGCTTTTAGTATCGAGTGCCACGGGCCAGCCTTTGTAACTGAAGGATATCAATGTGTTGTGAACAACTTTGTACAACTTCAATGGAAAAAGGAGTTAAAGTTAGTGCAAACTTTTTGTGCAGCGCTAGCACATATAAAGTTGATGGTTTAAGCTTGTTTAGAAAACTATTTATGTATGTGTATACACATGTATATGGTATATGCATGCAACCAGCTTACAACTGCACATTAGGGTGACACAATAWATAAAGGATTGTAATTTTTACAAGCTCTTCGCAGTTCAAAATTTTAAGCCTTGTATAGTTGCCAYTACAGTTAGAAGCTTGCAGTCTAAGTCTACTCCAGCTCACTMTCTTTGATCGCACATCAAGAACTGAAATTTAACATGATTTTATCCAAAGGTCAGAAGAATCGTACGGCCGCAGATGAACTGGCTAAGTTAACTTGAAACTCTGTTGCAAATGGAGTAAATACTTACTGTTGCACTTAGCTTTAGAAGATCGCTTTTTGAAAAACACAATCGCCACAGTGGCATTGAAACCTTTATCTCCCACTAACATTCTCCCAAAAACCTCCATTGACCACCTTCTCTAATAGCTCCGYCCCTTTCACATCTGCTTTCAAGTGTTTATCTTTGCAAAGCAGAGAGATTAATAATCATTCAGGGGTATACTGACCCGAAAGCAGCTATGGCTTACCACCTAATAAAAAATAGTCAAAAATAGTTCAGATTCTGGACAAAATTTTTTCTCATAACATAATTAAACCTTTAACATTCTCCTTCCACTGTTATATTACCACCCTAATGGCCATACAAACACTATCGCGTTGCACTTACTATCCAATATTGTATGTGTTAGCAGGAAAATCACACGGCGCGACACTATTTTGATTTCATCTTTTATTGCAAATATTTTCTCATCACGACACTCGCTTAAGTAGTTCTGTAAGGCGACCACTTCTGGTGTCTCTTCGGGGCGTTCGCCAGCCTTCATCGACATTTCCTCCAGAGCATCACAAATACTACAACAAACAAGTGAAATAAACACTTTTCCTATTTAATGCAGGTGGASGAAGCAGCAAGTAATTTCAATGTAATGCATGCAACTTTTACAAATATCTACGTGATTATATGTAATAATTGTAACTATACTTTACAATTAGCATTTCTCACTTACGCTCGATTCTCATTTATATTAACTGCCTTGTAATAGTCTATTATGAAGTCGTAAACTTGCTGCACTAGCATTACGATGGCGTTCTTCACATGCCGATTGTCCACCATGAATAGGTTCAGCGGTATGAAGTCGCGCAATATGTATGTGCTGTGTATGATGCCCATCAAACGTTTCATTAGATCTTCAACGAGCTATGTGGAAGAGGCAGATATAGGTAAATAAAAAATTAATAGAGCTTAAATACGATTTAAAACAAAAGAGGACCTTAATAATGACTTATTACTATCGACAAGTGAATATTTTTCGTGGCTGTGGAACGATATGAAAAACGAACGAGTTCTTGACAAAAAAGTCGCAGTATATACCTGTGTACTGGCCGTTTTAGACGAATAGATTGACACAAACGACGCATAATGCTCAAATAAGGAAGGAATTCATGGTGAACCACATCACGACAATCCTCTCAACTTTTTTTTTTGGRCGCAGTAGTATGTTGTCGTGAATTATACAGTATTATGATAAGACTCCACTTATTATTACCTAGTAAACCTTGGTCTCAAAGAAAATAACGGGTGATCCAAACAGAGGTACTTTTTGCAATATCAAGTTATTTTTGAAAGTGTACACGGAGACCGTGAAGAGTCGATTCGGCCCCATTTGCCGACTGACGCATGGAAAGATTTGGTGCAGTTTATGCCGAGATTTGAACTGAAAGCAAGGAAAACATGGCTTGCGGAAGAACTGAAACCGCTCGACCTTCCAAGCGATATCACTTCGCTCAATGTGAAAAGTTCTAAGAACATCTGACGTTTTGCAGCCAAATATTATTCCTCGACGAGCAACCTGAAGAGATTCAAGAGTTGACATTTCAAACAGAACAAACAACGGTTTATAGTGGTCTTTAAATAAGTAGAGCACCTCGAATGGATCACCCTATTTCAACTTCTACAGAAAGGTCTTAACCATATTTAGCAGATGGYCAACCGATGGTAGCTATTTATGAAACAKTTAGGGCAAGRACTCTATCCTCTCGCTTTAKTCTCATGAAGTTGCTGCAGGGAATMMTTCRCCRAATAATCACCTGCTTTTTTGATATGTTGATTTTTTATATTAAAACATGACACTCACACATTTGCGACACATAATCAACATGCTATTTTTCAGTGAGTAAATTTGCTTACAACGACGTTGTRTGCCAAATTGAAATATTAACCATTAATTTTTTGCTAGCTGCACTGCAGTAACTAAATACTTTCGTACTCCTCTTCGTTACATAGACTTTTAACCAGCGTAGATTTACAGGCTTTGTGCCATTAATGAAGTTATTGTGAACTTATATTTTATAAATAGTATTTAGTATAATAGTATTCAGTAAGGAAAGTGGAAAAATATTGATTGTACAATCGGAATGGGAATTGAAACTATAACGAGAACTCGATTCCACTTCGGGAAACTGAGGAGATCAGTTCAGCTCAATTCAATATATATCAGTATCACTCGTTTTGCTCTAAGATAATCATTGATACCGTACTGTCGTGTTTAAAACCCATAATGATCAATATTGAATGCTTTATCGCAGTCGTTATATAAGGTTGGTCAAATTTGGCTCGGTCAAAAAAAAAAAAAGTACATTTTCACTGTATGTTTAACTTATTCGATGTTATCGCTATTACCAAGTTGTCGATGATTTCATCATAATGTAGCCTCCACAACACAAAATTCAAACATATTAGCCAGATAAACTTTTCGTGTCGCAAATAAAAAACCTCCTACGGGTATAATAAAGGTTGCGCAAATCCAGAAAAAAATATAATTATTAGGTTTGCGTACGCAGGTAGATTGGACTAGTCCGTGTCATATTTGGTCAGATGGTAATATATCGCCAATGTATTTAATTTTTGTAGAGCTGTGTGATAGGAACAAAAATGCATTCACAGATCAGATCGTACAAGTAATGACATATTCGATTCGCCACATCGAAGCTCGCTATATTTCAAAAATGCTCTGTCGTCAAAAAATTAACATATGAAAGCCAACAACAAAGTTGTTCAGTCGAATAGCAAACATTGGATTTGCAATATAATTTAAAAATGTGCTCTTTTCTCTCTATGTCGACTTGTCTTTTACAGCAGTTGTTTGTTCAATTCGCTACACGCTACTTTTCAGAGTTTCGCGAATGGAGTTTAGTTACTAGTGAAATATAACGTCGCCACCTGTGAAAAATATTGTCTTATCTTCCGACACTTGAACCAGTAATATGATTTTGAGTCTTTAAATGCAATCGCAAGTTGAACGTCCTTACTCTGCCGCGTGTGTGTGTATGTGTGTATGCGCAAATAAATTCGTTGGCGTTGCAACGCGTCAACCAATTACCATCGAAAAGCTACACTCGCTGATGAGTCTCAAAGTGTTAGGTAGTGCGTCATAATAAAATTTAATTTTAATCCTACGCATCAATGAATTTAATCAAATAAAAGTATAATAATTAATTTAGTTTTCCTGCAGCGAAATTCAGCAGAGTTCGCCGTACAAAATTGCACAACTTCCACATACTACATGCATAAATTACATATTTACATATATGTATAAGTGTATAGCACACATTTGTGAGCGCGAGCAAATTTCAGCAGTGCAGCAACTGTTGCTACACCCGCGCAAGTATTCGGCTGCTATACATATACATATGTATGTCTGCAACATGTGAGCTGGTTGCTGAATAATTTCCTTTTTTTGCAATTTATTTTATTTTACTTTATTTTCCCAAATATGAATGCATAATGAGCTCATCATAGTCATTGTCAATATGTTCATCAGTAAATTTCATAAGCGCTATCATTATCGTCAATCTTGTTATCTTTTTGAAAATCTCATTATGCATCAATTTATAGAATTTGCAGTGTCAGTTTGCAGCAAAAGGCAAAACGAAAAAAAAAAAAAAATTAAAAATGAAAAAGGTATAAAATCATAATGTTCAAATAATACAAAAATATGCTGAAACTTGATAACTTAATGTTTAATATTCTGATGAAAATATAATTAATGTCACTCATTGCCGTTCAAAGTCGATGATTTAACATGAAACTTAAATCAGTGTGATTCGGTTGCGCCGCAAGCCCAATTCAGATTCATATAACGGTGTAATTTTATGAGTAAAGTTCTTTGAACTATTTCAGCCAGCGAAAGGGTTGAGCTGTGCAGAGCTTGTAGCCATTTATGTGTGTTTATGAATTTTAAATATTTCAGAATTATTATCATTTCATTATATTATTATTGCAGTTTGTAACTTAATTAGTCACTAATTAGAGTAAATAGCTTTTGAATATAGGTGCATATGATAAGAGAAACTACTGAAACATGAATTACCGGGTTTTGAAGAAACTTTGAAGAAATGTTGAGGGAGCTCAGAACAAATCAGCTTGATTCAATATAAATTCGCATACACTTAAATATTCGAGTATACGCATATACATAAAGTAAATAAGCCCCTGATGTATTGCTCTCTATCGAAAAGCATGCTTGAGTTCACTTTGGAACACATATATAGCCGATAGATGGTGTAATATAATTATAATACCCTTCATAGGTGCTTAGAAGGGTATAAAAAAAGAAAATTGTGTTGGTTTTGATCGGTTATTTTGTATGCCAGCTTTATGC